ATAACTTCCCCTGCAAGGGAACAGCATCTCGACCACAAGACAAGACCACTGGAAACACCAGAAAGGTCAACTGGATCCCGCATCTGGGCAACGGTAGTGACCAAAACACTTCGACACAAGCCAGCCGTGGTGAATTGGGGCTCCAGTGGGCCAGCAGACCTGGAAGATCTTGTGAGTCCAGTGTCAGGCCTCAAAGTGATGAATATAGGTCAAGCCAAAGGTGGAGTGTCATGGGTAGCCGGGGACATGCCCACCATCAACGTTATAGTAAAAAACGAGGTGGCTTCTCGGGTTTAACGCCCGAGGACTCTGATGCTATAGATAAGCCATTCCCGCCAGATCTAAAAGAAGAAATTCTCACAGAGTGGTACACATATGGTTGAAGTATTAGTTGAAAGTGGGGAGAATTAGAAGCACGCACCCGGGGATCGTACATAGTCACTATTATTGAACCATGGCTGAAAAAGGAGCGATCCGTTGCTCATTTAAGCGGTTATAGAAGCTATAGGCAGGACAGAACTGACGGCAGACAGGAAGGCAGAGTACTGCTGCTCGGTAAGGTCCGAATATCCAAGCCACAGGATGCTGCACTCAACTGGGGCGGAAGCAAGTAGGTGTAGTATGTGTATATAGAGCCCCGAATAAGATGCCAGAGGAAGATAAGGACCTGCTTATGGTCCTACAACAAACGCCGGCGAAATACCAGCGTTTTGTCATCACTGGCGACTTCAATTTTCCGGAGGTAGCATGGTCAAGGGGGTATGCACCTACGGGTTCCCAGGGGCTGCATTCTTCCAGTTTATACAAGAAAGAGCTCTGACACAGCATGTGACAAGAGCAACCAGGTACGAGGACAACAGAGACCCTCGCTGCTAGACCTAGTTATCCTAGACCTAGTTTCTCGGACATAACTAGCTTAAACATGGAAGAAACACTGGGCAAAAGTGACCACGAAGTTCTTCGTTTTGGACTACTGGTTAGCCATCGTAGGCACGGACCTACTCTTATGCGTCTCTATGGTTGCATAGACGACATAGAATTAGTACAAGCTGCAAATACCATCAGCTGGTACCGGAAGTCCCCGGAGTGCACGTTACAGGATATATGGGAAGTAGTTAACCAGCCTCACAGACAGATTCTCACCACTGAGGGAAGGCCGAACCAGACATCGACCAATATGATGGAAATCCGGATTAGAGAGTTCGCTCAAAATTCGCCGACGATATGGGATTGCTTTAAGCCTTACGGCGCTCAACAAGCCTGGAGTGACTACAAGCGGGCGCGCAACAGATGTCAAGACCTCCAAAGGCGTGCCAAAGTTGACTTTGAGTTTAACTTAGCCCGAGGTATCAAAAAGAGCCCCAAAAGCTTCTATGCGTACGTGCAAGCCAACGCACGCACACGGGAGTGTGAGGAGCACTAGCTTTACCCGAGATAGGCACAGCTACGTGTCCACGGTAAAGCGGAAACCCTAATGAAGTTCTTCAAAAGCGTGTATAGGACCCCAGCCAATGTGGACAATCCGGGTTTAACAAGACCGATTGATACGTCAGAGTTATCCGAAATCGCCATCTGTGAAGCAGATGTACATCGGGAACTCCAGACGCTCAACAAGCACATGTCAGCAGGTCCAGATGGAATACATCCAGCCATAGTGTAGCCACTGGCCGGTGTGCTAGCCGGGCCGTTGACAATACTTTTTAGGGAATCAGTGCAAACTGCTACTCTACCCAGGACTGGCATACAGCTACCGCAGTAGCATCGCACAAGGCTTGACCGAAACACAAAGCAGAAAACTATGGACCCGTTGGCCTAGCGTCAGTGTTGTGTAAGTGCCTGGAGCTGCTGATCAGAAGGGAGATTTGCCCACATCTGACTAGCAATCGACTCCTGACACGGGCACAACATGGCTTTGTGCAACGGAAATCATGTCTTACGAATCTGCTTGTTTTCCTAGATTAAGTCAGTCAACGAATTGATGAGGAGAAAAATGTAGAAGTCTGCTATTTAGACTTCTGTAAAGCATTTGACTCTGTCAGCCATCGGTTGTTGGACTGCAAGGTTCGGAGCCTAGGCATAACCGGTGGAGCCAGGGACTGGATTGTGGCGTTTTTGGGTAATCGCACCTTCCAGGTCGAGTTGGGTGACTACATTTCTAACCATGAGGTGTTTACGAGTCGAGTCCCCCAGGGCTCAGTGCTAGGCCCCCTACTTTTTCTCATATTCATCAATGATCTGGCACAGGATCCTCAAAATCCGTGTTTCATGGTTTCTGATGATGTTAAAATGACAAGGTTAGGCTAACGAAGGGACCTAGAGGTAGTTCACCGATGGTCGGCCAAGTGGGACTTACCTTTGAATCTCAGCAAGTGCCGGCTCTTAGCAACAAGGGATGGGACATACTCGTTTAATGGGGCTCTCATGTAGGAGGTCCCGCAGATGAAATATCTAGGGGTTCTTGGGACCCCAGGTTTTAAACTCTCAACTCAGTGTTCCAAGGCTGCTAATCAGGTTAGAGGGGCAGCGGTTCAGGTTGTGTGCCACAATAACATGCATGTATAAATCGATTGTGCGCCCACACATGGAATATTGTGTGCAGGCATGGGGACCGTAATACAAGAGGGATGTAACGCGTTTAGAGCGAGTGCAACGCCTAGTCACCCGAATGGGGACTGGGCAAATAGGGGAAGACCTATGCGCAGCGGTTGAGAGATCTTGATCTCTTTTCGCTGGAGCGTAGACGAGTGAGGGGAGATCTGATAGGCACTTATAATTGAAGGAGGTCTATCAGGACNNNNTGCACACAGGGTCATACTCATGTGGAACAGGTGACCTGCAGAAGTGGTCAACTGCACCAATGTTAACGCCTTCAAGGTGGCCCTGGACGCATGTTGGTCAGAAACGTTCGCCGAAGTTAGTATTCAGACTGGGAACAATAAGAGTAAATTCTACTTTAGCCAGAAGTTTGTGGAATGATATAAACTTGGGTTTAAGTGTTGAAATGATTCTAGAAACTGACTATCCTGTCACATGTCAGCTGTGTATACTAACGCATGTGTACTTGAGGTCTCTAACCAATGAGGCGGGGAGATATCCTTGCTTGTTTTCTTCCCTTTGAGCATACTCCCAAGGAGACAACGTTCTGGAAACGGGGTTAAAAAATCACAAATACCCAATCAACTGTACGCATTGATGGGAGCTATTCTCATCCGCCGACAACACAAAGAACTGGACGCTCGATTGGAAAGAGCCATATTCGTCCTGTGCAAACTGAACTGAACAGAACTGAAGAAACTGAACTGCTTCTGGCTCGCCGCAAATCCTGTGACCTGTCCAGATATCTTTCCCGGTTCAGTGGGTGCCATACTTGACTGCGTACAACCGAAAGAATTCTGGACGCTGGATTGGCTGTGGCCATTTTTGTCCTGTGCAAACTGAACTGAACTGAATTGTTTGTTTATATTAATTACGATTCTCACTTGAGCTATCGAGCGATAACCTAGGTCACATAGCTTCACGCGCCCGGTTGAATAAGTTGAAACTCTGAGATGAACAGCGCATTGGGCATGCGGCTTCTCCTACAGCCGAATATATTCAAAGCATCAGTGGGTGTCAATTTGTTTTATTTGATGGATCGTTTCAGGGAGGCCCGGCGGTTCAGTTGGTTCGATGCTTACGTCTTACTTCTGGACTTCACCAAGACTATTATTGGAACGACAAGCATGATCCCAACGAATCGGTATGATCATTTTTGTTTGTTTAATGGTTATTTTACCTGGGATCTGTCACTCAACGGTTAAATGTGAAATGTTTTTAACTTCGCCTGTTCGCCGAGCTTGGCAATTTATTTGCAAACGTTTCATCCCCAGCCGAGCTGACATCAGTGCCTGCCCCTAGGCAGGTGGTTGTCCATCCTTCCTGATTGCGGTTTCGGCCCGTTCTCAGGTCATGGCGTGACCTTTTTTGTTGCGTCATTTGATCCTTGAGTTGCATTGGCGTGTACACGTGATCCAGTTCAATGTACTTGTTGATCGAATTGATTGAGGAGTGCCAAGCTTGGAGAAATTCTTTGGCGCAATTTTTATGTAATTATAGGCCTTAAACGGTCTGAGACCGGCCTTAGGAAAAATATTTCGACCACTACATTTATCTTGAATCGGACTGTCTGTCACGTAGCTGAAAAGATCATTCCTTCATGTTTCCATCGATGTTTAAGGCGTATACAGCAATTAGGCACTAAAAGGTCAACGACTTACCAGCATAGCTGTCATCTGTGCCGTATACGACACACACAGGTAACAGTGTTTACTGTAATTTATTCCACAATTTTTTAACCCTGTGCGTGAAGAACGTGGCCCATAGATTTACTCTAGAATGACATTTTATAGTATGAGGTGATGTCTTCTCGTCCCTAAAAAGAAAAAGCGAGAGCAATTATTCGAATTTTAAGTCAGAAACCCCTTCAAATATCTTAAAAGTCTATGAGATATCTCATGTCGTTATTGCTCTGCATGCGTCCCCATGTCAGGGAAAATAATTCTCTATATTTCTGGCTTGCTACCTTTCTTGCTGCTAAACCCTGTATTTCCTCGATTCAGCATTCATCTTGCTCCTAATGGGGCACCCACATTTGACATGAACGTGTAAAAGGTAGATAGCGGTTACAGCAACTTCCTCACTTGTGGTACGTGACCACACTGATAGAGTCTGCACCTCTTGGATGTCCTCGAAACCGCTTGCGATATGCTTTTAGACTAACGGTGAACGCTTTTAAATTAATTTATGTTTTCTACACCGGAACGTTCAATCGTTGAGCAACGAATGATTGGTTCACTAAGTTGGAGCATTTACAACGTTCTTCCACAAGATTTATTGTCAGACCACGTGGGGCCAAATTTTGGGGTCGACTGCCATTGTGTGCTGCCATGTATGATGGATCTGATATGTTTGACGAAGATAATGAGGTGGGCCTCAGCATTATTTTTCTTCTTGGGCAACACATGCGGGATTGTTTTCACTTCATAAAAGATGTGAGTGTACAGACGCTTGAGTGATCCTTCGACTTGTGGATAATAGGACTAGCTATCTTAGCCTCCGTCCTTGATATTAAAAACTAAAGAACGTTTCCATGCAGAAAAGGCACCATGTAAAATCCCACTTGAATTACAGCGTGTTTTATCTGAGTCCCTTTGCATCTAGATGATAGATTAGATCGGAGTCTTATTCTCATTAATAGCTAGATGCAACGCCGATAAGATTCCATTATACTAATTTAGGACAACAGAGTCCCATAAGATCTTGGTGAGACAGACTCATGCTTTCAAATAATTACCACTAAAATTCCTTTATAGCTTCTGGTTGTCAAAATTCTTCGCTGATTTTGGGTTTTGACTGCGTAACTGTTTGACCACAGTTCACTCTGATTTGTATCCAAATCGCCCGTCTTGTGTTATTCTAGTTGCGTTAGCACTAAGCTTTCTCTTCAGCCGGGTATATATATATGTATATATATAAAGCAAACTTTCATTGGAATCATCTGTATTCAATTTCCGTTGAAACTCGAATATTTAAAACAAAAATCATTGTTACGAAAGGACCGGAAGAGTACTACGGCGATCACCTGCTGAAAGACCAAATCTCAACGTTATTTCGATTCAGTTCCACCATCAAACATTCATTTAATTGTTTTTGTTTTCACGTGCTAGTATTTAGAGTGGGAATATAAGAACTAAATTCTATTTTATCCGGAAGCTTTGAAATGGTGCGAACCCGGGTTTGACTGTTAGAATTATTCCAAAACTGACTGTCCTGTCGCACGTGATCGGTGCATATGAACGCATGTGTACCTGAGGTCTCTAACAGATGAGGCGCGGAGATATCCTTGCTTATTTTCCTCCCTTTCAGCCTACCCCCAAGGAGTCAACATCCTGGCTACGGGGCTAATATGAGAGGATCACGAACATCAAATCAACTGTACGCAGTGTTGGAGGCAACTATTCACGGGGATTCACGGGGATTGACGGGCTTGGGAACCGAAGTTTTCGAGTAGCCTGGGTTCT